TTTTAAAATGCAACAATTAGAAGTGGAGGATTAGAGGGTATTTATTTAAATAATTTAAATCCCCTCCATTTAAACAAACAATAATAAAAAATACAGTATATAAATCAAATAAAGTGTGTTTAGCATTAATAAAGCATCTTTTGATTCTTTATTAAAGCAAGTGCCAGTGCCAACCCAACCAAAGCCCAATGACTTGAGCAAACAACTTTGTCGTTTATATGATTGTATTACACACTTTCTTTTAAAATGACTCCAATTAATACCTCCTAATCCATTGCTCAAATCCCCCACTTTGTTTAATTTTTTTTTTTTTATAAAAAATACCCAATTTATGTCCCCACCACGTTTTGTCACCCCCAGCTAACTGCCTTAAAATACTAGGAGTACTCCTAATCAACATATTTTTTGTATGGCCCTTCCACCTAACTTTCGGGTGGATTTTAGTTTTATAAGTCCAAGGTTTTCTATAATAATAATGATAATCATTACTCCTAATTTGTATTTTATGCAAAATATTTTTATATAGCATATGAATAATAATTTAAATAATTATTTATAAAAAAAATTATTTGACAAAATCTACATATTAAAAAAAAGTGTCAAAGGTCTAGGGTAAGGGTAAAATACATTGTATAAAAAATAGTACAAGAGAATGGGTAAAAAGACAGTTCTGAATTTATTTCTTGAGAATTTGTTGAGTGCAAATACCTTCCTAGAAATCACCTTAAACTTTGAAAAGGGAAATTGGAATCACTATCCCTTTTTTCTATTGAAATTTATGTAAGGATAACTAGTTCTGGAGCTGCAACTACAAAAATCAAACTATTAAGTCATTTCGCATTGCTATACAAAAATTTCGGAGGACAAATTTTACAAAACTGTCTAACACCATTATTACCGTGTTATTATTGAACGGCTAATCTCTGGAGATGATCCAAGAACACCTCGAAGCTGACATCGTCGGTAAATATTATGTCTCCGCCTGGATGATGGCTATCGGAGTTGTATGTTGCAGAAGGGTTCAATCTTGCCAGAAGAAAACGCGCCTGCACAGAGATAAAACGCTAGTGAGCACCATGCGTTGCAATGATAGATACAAGTGAATAAAACATCAGTGCAGTGTGTGTACATGTCATAGAATCATGATAGCCACCCAATGTAGAACATGAACATTATAATTGTGCACAGTATGCCACAGCTTCCCCAGTCTCATTTCTCTCTTCCTACCCTCTCCTTTCTCCTCTCTTCTCTTTTTGAAACTTACATATGCAAATGTTAACATAGTCCACATCA